AACTTTTGATTTCAGATCATCATATGGGCTGACTTTATCAGGCTGAATGATGGCATCACGAACAAAAGTTGCAATATTAGCTGGTAAGTGAGCTACGACATAGTTGAATTTTGTCTTTTGCTCCGTTATCGGTTTGGGAGCAGCTAGTTCAAAAGTAGATTTCAACATGTGAAACCAAAGAGATGGATCAACTTGAATAAAAGGTGGAATCACTACAGCAAAAGTTTCAGTTTCGGCCCTTCTTCAAGTGGAACATGTGCCAGCGGGAAGAATCACAACCAGAAGTATCCGTTACTGTAAAGGATTGTTCGTCCTGAAGTCACCATTGAAGGGTGGTTGCTATTGAAGGTGGTATATTGGTTGATCTGACTCCATAATTGAATGAAACAGCATTGATATAAAATATATATTTTATTATACACACAGGAATGAGACTCGTACCGGAGCGTTGCGTAGCGATTTTTCACTCGAACGGCGCCAGCCAAAAAAGAGGCTGTGAAGCCAGACAGAAGTTGTCACATAACAGGACAGATGTTGTTGCACCTCTTACTGATTGGCTACACATATAAGATGATTCTTTTAAAGTGTCAGTTTTCAATTTCTTGACTAATAGAAAAAAAAATTTTTTTTATGAATGCCTGTCCATGCCAGAGGATTAGAAACATTTTTGATATTTTCCATACTTGTGTCTAGTGAAATGTTGAGAAAATAAAGAGAACATAAACATGTTAAGAAAAAGACTTCTAATATCAGAAGTACGACACTCAAACATTATGTTTTCTTTCAAAAATTCCCCAAAATGTAAGAAATTCATCGCAAACTTTCTGCAAAATACATACATTATGTGTTAATGCAATGAAGACATTTTCATTTTGTCAATTTTTTCTGCAGCCTTCTAGAATCTTGCCTTGAAATCTGTAAATCTTGCCTTCAAATCCTTTTAAACTTTCCAAATTGCAAGGTGTAAAATCCTAAAGAAAAATTAGCCTTACCAATTCTGCAAGAGAAAAAGGGCTAGAAATATTTTGGGGGGGGAAAACATAAAAAAAGGGGAAAATAAATTTTATACAGAAAACTGATACATATTCCGACAATTCTGAATATTCAGAGACAACTACATGGGAAAAATTCTTACCATAAAAAAATTAAAAGGAAGAAATATTTAATTAATTATATAGTATTTTGCTTTTGCTATGAATTGTTTTGTAAATTGTGCTTTATAGCATTTATTACCTTTTTATTTCTCAGATTCAAAATCTATATAAAGTCGCCAAAATGGAAAGTAATGCCACTTTATATTACGACGCAAAGAAAAAAAATATTTTATTCTAATGTTATTTCTTAAATTAATTTAAATATATTACCATTATTTTAGTTAAATTTGTCAATGTTATACTATTTTCCAAAAAAATTGTCGAAAAATTCCCAGATATCCGAATTGAAAATTTTCTATAGAAATTAATCTTAAAATCGCCAAAATGTTGATAAGTCGCCTAAATTTAGAGCAGTTTAATGAAAGAATTCACATCCCCAAAAGCAGAGAGTTGCTTAAATGCTCTTAATTAGAAAAAAAAAATAAAACAATGATGAAATGCTTATGTTTGAGTCCTTGCTCAGAAGCTCCAGTATCCCACCCTTTACATTAGAAATAGGAGCAAATTATAACCCATGAACCCATTCAAAAAATAATCATATTTGTCAGTGAATTGTCAAAAATAATCCTCCATAATGATAATTCACACTCAAAACAGCAGTCGTAAAAACAAGACAGAAATTTAAGTTGATTAAAATTAAAGACCTTCAGCCTATTTTGGGCAAGGACCAAAAATCGATTAAAAAAAACTAAGGACTTATAAGGACCGTACCAGCAGAAATATGTTGATAACATTCTAAAGATGTTTAATATGCAAAATGTTGCAAGCCAGTAGCAACTCCTCTAAAGCAAAGAAATGTGTCCTTCTGAAAGTGAAAAGGAAGAAATGAACAATTTACCTTATCACCATCTAACTGATTTGCTAGACCGGATATTACATATGCCATCAGTAACCTGAACCAATTTAATAACAATCCAGGAAAATTACACTGGTTGGCTGCAAAGCATGTTCTCAGATACTTGAAAGGAACTAAAAATGATTGTCTAAAATTTCGAAAGACTAGAAAAGCACTTATTGGATATACCGATGCCAACTGGGCATCTAATGTTGATACTAGAACATCCTATACAGATTACCTATTCATGCTTGCTGGAAATCCAGTAACATGGGAATCCCCAAAGCAACAAACCATTGCATTATTAAGTACTTGAAGCAGAGTACATCAGTCTTTCAGAGAATGCTAAAGAAGCAGTTTATTTACGTTGTTTTTCCAAAGAATTAAATTTTAATGCTGAATATCCAACCACTATATCTTGTGATAATCAGTGTCAGGGTTCATAGCCACATTTTAGTTAAAAAAATAAGCACCTATAAGCACTTTTCAAGTACATTTTAAGGAAAAAATAAGCACCTGTCTAATTACATTATACACAACTACATAACTTTAAAAGAAAATTAGACTTGTAATTAAAATATGAGCAATGCAATATTTAAATAGAGATGAGCATTACGTCACAATGGAAAACAATTAACTTTTTTTAAAAAATTTTAATGACAGTTCAATTTACAGAATTAGTTTACAATGAGAGGAAAAAAAACTATGCAGACTAAACTATATTACAAAATTTATGAGGATTTCAGTTGAAAATATAGAAAAATAAATAATAATAAGCCATATTAATTGTATTCGTTTGGCACCTAATTAAATACAATTTATTTTTCCACTCATATTAATATTTAAATAATTAACTTAAATCAAAATTCTGAACATTTTCTAAAGTGTCATTGCCATAACAAGTTTTCTCTTAACATATATCACAAGCAAAGTAATTTTAAGAAAAAGAGGCACATTTCTGAAATCAGAAGACGGGAAATTGCTTCATTCAGTCATCCTTTAACAGTAAAAGCTTAACTAACCAGCATACTTGGAAATTCTCGTATATTCCGGATAGTAACTGGAAAAAGAAAAGTGGGGAAGATTGTAGCCCTTCTTTAGATTTAAATTTAGGCTAAATAAATGATTTTGACATTTCGATATGTGCACCATATAAAAACCAATGGAACTGAGAAATATTCTGCTTAGAAAGCACAGTAAAACTCTTTTAAGTGTTCATAAACAAATCTCAGACTGAACATCAAATTAATTATCAAGCAAAATACCGCAAACGTTATGGCGCAATACGTGCGGCGTAATTCTTCCATATGTGAGATTACGCAATCGAATCAACACCTGCCGTATTCGGAGAAAGAACTAAATAAAGGAAAAGAAAGACTTACTAATCTGAGGTGTTTCTGATTCTAATTTCAACAGATGTATTAAATTTCCGGAATAGAGTCAATCTTCGCTTGGGTTGGCTAGACCGCAAAAACTTTTTAGTCCTTTCAATCCAGATTGGACAGTGACAAAAAAAGTGCGCTGTTTCAATATTAAAGATTTTGGGCGGAGAAACTCCCACCTCCGTACTGTTAATGTATGGCAAAGAAATGAAATTATTTTGACTATTCGATTACTTTCCTTTTATTAAGCCATTCGAATATTATCCTTAGAAACCTAATCTGTGTAAAAACACACTTTTGGAAGTTTATCTATACTTCAGCATTACTGCAATTATATTATTATAAATATTCAACTATGCTCATAATATAAGCATAACGATCATAATAAACACGAATATGAACTGACCACGCGGAACGAGAATACAAATTATTAAATCTTGATAAAAATTCAACGTGTGTAGTATTTGGGTGGGAGGAAAAGAATACCGAATGTACCGGAATTTTCTACGTTTCGCAATTCTTTGGCCAAAGAACGAGTGAAACTGTCCTGTACTCTCGCCGCACCATAGTTACGTTAATGCAGAGGAAGGTGGGGAAATCAATTTCGGGAGTAGATTCAACATCTGACGTTGCATATAAGGAAGAAAAGTTGGTTTATTTTAGTTTCGGCTTTGGTATGGGGAAAAATGCGCGTTCATTAAAAACAAAGGATTAAAAAATATGCACTAAAAACAAAAAAATAAGGGCTTTAAAGAAAAAGTAAGCACCTATAAGGGCCTTTATATTTTATTTTCAAATATAAAGACTTATAAGCACTTGTAAGGACCACTACGAACCCTGAGTGTGCACAGAAGCTTATTAAAAACTCTGTTTACCACTAAACACACAGTTATTTCATACGTGAAATTTATGAAAGAAATTAAATAGATGTTAAATATGTGCCAACAGAAAAAATACCAGCTAATGTACTGGAGAAAAACACTGACTGCTTCAAAACATTCTAAGTGCTGTAAATTGATTGGAATAACTGTAAATGATGAATGCTTATTTTTTTTTAGCTGCCAAACGACGAAAAGGGGATTGTTGCTTCATAAATTATAATTTGACGGTTAGCTTAAGAGCGCTTCTCCTAGTGTAGGCGCTGTTTGCATTTATCTGTGTAGTGATAACATAAATCTTTATTTCGTAAAATAACATAACTCTTTATTTTATGAAATAGAGTTACGTTATCGAAAGAAGAAGTAAAAGGATATATATCTTTTTACTATATTTTTTTTATATCTTTTTACTTCTTCGCTTTCTTGTCTGTACGAAACTGTGTTTAAATCTCTCTCATTAAAAATGCTCATTAATGTTATACTCTGTTTAAGCTCATTTTGCCCCTTCATAAATAAATATAGAACCTTTTTGAAATTTATTCAATAGTAAATATTTTATTTTTGAACAAAATCATCCACTTTTACATTACACATATTTTCTAATATTTACATTGCAAATAATAAAAAATATTACCTAAAAAGAATGAAACAGCAATAAATTCAATTTTTGTGACCGAATAAAAAAAAGTCACAAACACCATCAAAATTGTTAGTCTTAAAATATCCAAATTACATATAAGATTAGATTATATGTAAGCAATTATGTTTGTTCTGAAACATTAAGGAAATTTTCAATTAGTTTAATTTCATAAAACTTTTTCAGTGGCTTTTGAATGTTAATAAGGACAATTCAAACAGTTGCAAAATGCAGACAGCCTTAAAAAAAGTAATATTTATGTAAAAATCATTATTAACAATTAAATTAATTTTTCAATTATTGAAAATACATTTACATAGTTTTATTATTTTCATAAAAAATTAATCTACAATTATGTATAAATAAATTTCGAAGGAAGTGACTGAAGTATGCATAAATAAAATTCCCTACATGGTCAGAGTGAAGCTCTGAATTTCTATTATTTAACACAGTACATTTATGTAGCTTTAATGCTATTATATTATAAAGTTCTAGATTTTTAGACGTAGATTAAAGAAAAATTTTGTTTAAAAAAATATCTAATTTAGCTTTAGGAAAATTCTGAAATTGGTGTAAATGCAGATAGCAAATAAATACTTCATATTTATAATTTATGGGTAAAGAAGATCTCAAATAAGAAAAAGTCAGTAAGAAATAAGGGTTTCAAACTAAGGTAGATAATTTTTCAGATTAATAAATGTAAACTGACCATGAATTAATAGGTTCGAACAGAATTTATTATACATCACATATAATGGAAATTAGATATAAGAAACTTTTTCTTATTTTAGACAGGACCCCCCCCCCAAAAAAAAAACACTGGATACAAAATTAACTAATTTGATTAAAACTGGAAAACAAAAATGCCTGAATAAACCCTTCAATCACTTTCTCATTGACTTTAAAATTGATAGAAAATATAAGCAAATATTTTTCACACAGAAATAAGAGCCACAGTAAAATTTTAACTTTAAAAATTATTTTTTATAATGAAAACTGAAGCATATAGAAAAAGACTTGCGTAGGCAAATAATATAGACATGATTGTTTATATTATTTGCCTAAGCAAATTCTTGGTGAAAGATAATAATTTTAATGACCCCCCCCCACATATATATAAGTATAAATCTTACTACTAAGGACATTATTAAGCATAAACTAAGGAAATTTAATACTATGGATAAAACTAAAGAAACTTAATACTAAGGATATTAAGCATAAATCTTCAAAAAGGAAAAAGTGACTTAATTTCAACTATTATTTACTGAAAATGACTAAAGGGGGGCTACTGGAGAAAGAATTCCTAATATAATTTATTTTCAGTAATGAATAATTCTGTTAGTTTTCATAAACAAGGATTATTTCTTAAATGAAATTTTGTTTTTAAAATATATAAAAATTCTAGACTGACAGAACATGATTTTAAAATAAGTGGCATGTAAAGATACATAAGATGATAAAAATTTAGTACTTCAAACTTAAGTTAATTTTCAAAAAGAATAAAAGTGGAAATTCCAAAAATATGTACATTAGTACTTGTTACAATAATAAATTAAAATGACAATTTATTGATGGCCCAAATGTGAGTGCTTAAATTAGAATTTTATAAAGATTGCTTACTTACATTCTTTCTTATATCTTATAGCATTCATGAGAAACATGGCTATAAAGCTTTATTTTCATAAATATTGATTATGAATATATATTTTCTACTAAAAAATTTCTCAAAACAAGAGAGAATTTTATAAGAACAAACATCATTCTAAATCAAAATTGAATTTGTTACATGATTTCCTTGTAAAACACTGCAATTAATAAAACATACAATATATTCAACAAAAAAGTCCCATACTATTGCATAAAAAAATATGTGAAATATGAATAATTAATATTTTTTTAAGTCGTGAGTGCAGTTAATAGTAACCAGCACCATAACAGTTTAAAAATGAAACTGTAAAACTGAAAAAACGAACCACTTCTGTTTTGCAGTTGTTCCCTCAAGTTTAATGAAATTTAGAGATTTTTCAGGATATTGACCAAAAATATGCATTAAAAAATATCCTAAATCAGCAAATTTGTATTGTTTCATAAATTTTGCATGCAAAAACAAGATTTTTTTGTGCATATTTAAATATAATTAATATTTTGTTTATTAAACATTTTAATTCAATGGAAATCATAAGAAATAATAAGTTTTGCATTTTTAGAACCATTTTGCTTTTGGGCTAAAACTGTTCTCACAAAATTCTCTATCTTGAGAAATTCCGTAGTGGAAATACATATTTTCATCAATATTTAAGGAAACCAGGTCACCTGCAGATAGCTTTTTCATACATTTTGTGCCCATGTGTTCTTAAAGTAAAACACAGTACAAATGAAACATATCAAATGCATTCCATGATGAAAAGGTGGTATATTTACAATGTTATAAATGTAAGGTAGTATATTTACAATAAATCATTTTTAATAATTAGACAACTTCTGCTGCTTTAACCATGTTCCAGAGATAATTCTTTCCAGGTTCAACATTCATAAGTGTTTGAAGAATGATTTCCTCTCTAAAAAACATTAAACAAAGTATAATCTTACATTAAAAGAAAAAAGAAAGAAAAGAAAAAGAAAAAAATTTGCTAGAAATTCTAAGCATATCCAAATGTTAAATACTACATGTAATAAAGTAGTGAATAATTGCAAAACAAGCAAGACAACTCATATTTTAACCCATTCATGACCAACGTCCTGCAGGCATGATGCAATGATTCCACTCTTACCAGCTCAGCAATGCTTCTACGCAAAGAGCTCTGACCAATCTCTTCAGCCCAGCGTCGCATATCCATAATTTGAAAACTGAATGATTTATTTGAATTTTTAAATCCCAGTAGATGTGCTAAATGGTATCGCTTTTGACATCGGTTGAGTCATGGCTTTTGACCTTCATGTATGAGCATTATTTTCTGTTTTTGATATATTTATTGGTCTAAACAAACTGGGAATCATAGCTCTTTAAGTTATATGGGCACCAAAATTTTTGTTTATTTCGTTGAGAATTTCGGGCATGTTTCCTTTTTTTTTTTTTCCATCCAGCTCAATGTTTTCATTTAAGTTATTTGCTTATTTTGTTCGGAGAATGTGGGAAAACGCATATAGTGGGTGTAACTTCGTTGAACTTCGAAAAACTCAAACCAGTTGTCATTTTTTATATTTATTTAAAAACTTAGTACAGTACAAAGTCCGGATGTGCATAATCCGGACCTCAAAGCTACAAACTTTCTGTGCATGCATATAATACCTTTACGCATGCACATAATACATTTATGCATGTGCGTTTAATGTACAACGGACAGTATAAGCTAGGCTAAAATTATCTAATTATCTATTTCAGTTAATGGTGCAGATTGTGTTGGTCCTTAATCTTCTAATTGGATCTGGCTTATTATTTCTTGCAGACTTAGAGCAATTTTTATAAAAAGTAAGCTTGAACTTTCGATTATGTCAAAAAGAGTTTCCGATTCTGGATCTGCAAAATGAAAGCACGTTCAATGTACTGCTTCCAATAGCGAAGAAAGTGACTTATTTATCTTAAGTCTTTATTTATCTTAAGTCTTTGACTAACTTATCTAGGGATAATTATTTCTTAATTTTCTTTTAAATTTCGTATATGTAATTTTGTTTTAGTATTTCGCATGTTTCATTTATTTCTATTAATATGTATTAAGAATGGGTATATTAAATCCATAACTTCAAAAACTGAGCTCATTATAATAAATTGCTGATTTTACATTATTTTTTGGTAAAATTAAGCTCAACTGCTGAAAATGCGTGGGCCAGTGGCGACATTCCATATTTTTTTGGGGGGGGGGAAGGTCAAGTGACTGTGCTTTATTTTCTTTTCCGTGTGCTAGTCCTGAAGAGGTTAAAAAAAATAAGCAAAATTTTTGCGAAAATCAGTGTTAAACTAAAAATGAAATTAGCTTATTTTTTAAAACTTAAATATTTTGTTTAAAATATTGTTATTATAGATTTCTTTTCTGACAACAGAAATAAATGCTAACAAAGACCAAATATATATATATATATTAAAGTATTGCAATTTCTGTAGCTTATAAATTTAAACAATGTTCAACAAGTCGCATAGCAGCACATTACATGCAGGGTCACATAATAATCAGTAGCTTTTCCACATTTAGAAATATTCTGTCCTACAACACTTACATATATGGTCATAAAAACTGTTGTTTTAGTGATTGGGAAAAATATGATTGCTTGCATGAAATATCTGGTTGCAACGAAAGTTTCACTCTTCAAATTGTTGTCATCAAATGGTATCATGCAAAATGCATTATATTTTTTTTAAATTAAATAATAAAGAATTTATACATATGTATGGAAGATATAACAAAAGAATCTTTAAGAATAATTGGCGACTTCAAAGTTAACTATTCTAGATTGTATGCTCTCCCCCTAAATTCATTTGCTCTCCCATATTTCAGATCTTTCCATGTTACATATCAACCTAAAATTAAACAATCACAGATTAGTTGTACTTACGCATCATACTAGTACAAATACTCTTGGCACAACAACTATGTCATTCCTTTTCCTAGCTTCCGCCTTCCAACATCTGCACACTGCTTAAAATGATGTTGTATCCTTTTTTATCTGTGTATATAAAAATTCTTCGTATTCAACTATGATCGAAACGTAATCTGTCTACTAAAGAAATACTTTTTTATGCCTAAATATAAAAATGGAGATTATTCAATTCAGTTGTGTTAACTGCCTCATCGATCCTTCACCCTCAGCCACTATCAAAAGCTGTTAAAAGTTCCAGTATTTTCTTCTATGCATTAAATTATCGCATTTATGCATCTGATTGTAATAAAGTTTTCCACCAAAAAAACGTTCTTAATAAAGTTAGAAAAAAAAAAAAAAAAAAACATGAAAGCAGTACCTTCAGTGCAGGTAGTAATTACCACCAAAATCTATGATTTTCTGCCAATATTTGGCAGTTTTTCAAAGCCTTAGGCCCAGAAACTTGGTAGCTGCAAGTCCAAAAAAAGGATTAACCTCATTTTGGACGTCCTGCGTGAAATGGAAGACAGCACCAGAAAGATGTAACTGCAGATGTGAAAAAAAGTTAGAAGTCCGAAGAAGCGATATCGGGGTTATATGGTGGGTGTGGCAAAACACATTCAAGTCCATACAAAGTCCAACCAGTGAATGCAGACACATGTGGTCTTGCATTACCTTGATAAAATTTTACCGTTTTGTGCCGGAATTTAGTTTGACGTTCTTCCTTGAATAGCAGCATCAAGATGGACTAGCATCTTGCTGTACACCTTATATTGTTCCAGATACTCTTTGTAGATAATACCACAGCAATCCCACCAGATACAAGGCATGATCTTTTTGTTAGTCAAATTGTGCTTTGTGACGCTGCTAACAGGCTCACCGGGTGCAGACTAATTCCTTTTTTGGCCTGTCTTGTCGAAGTAAATCCACTTTTCATCACAAGTGATGATTCGGTACATAATTTTGTCTTTACATTGACAATCGAGCATATTAGTGCAGGCCCAAAGACATCTTTCCTTATCTGCTCGAGTCAGCTCATGCAACACCCAGTGATTAAACTCTTACGTTAAGTCTATGAAATGCATAGCATGACTAATGGACAGGTGTTAATGTCTAACCTAGCAAGCTCTCAAATAGTTGCATACTTATCTTCTTCCAAAAGTTCTTGCAGGCAGGCCTCATCAACATCAGTAGGCCAGCCAGAGTGCTCTGCTTTTTGAATGCCATAGTGTTCGTTTTAAAACTTTATTTACCAAACCTTCACAGTGTCATGTGATGCAACATTAGTACCTAAAGCTGTATATGTGATTTGCAGATATTCTGTAGCTCACTTTTTGTTACAGAACTGGAAATAAATGATGGTTCTAATCTGGTAGTGTGTTAGTTCCATTTCAGACACCTTAATAATAATATTTTTTTACAAATTTCACAACACAGTGTTCTAAAGGAAGTCTCTTTATTTCAAATACTGAAAATTGTTTGACAAAATATGATGGAACTGTTTGTGCAGACAATATTTTCAGTGGCAAGAAACTTTCATTTAAACCCGATATAATTTTTAAACAAAAGAAAGATTACACTTTTAAAACTTTTTAATTTCAGAAGTCGAGATCAAATTATAGTATTTTATAATGCATATTATTATTGAACTTGAAATACAAGAATGGATGCGTAGCATGCATGCAGACACATGAACACTTGACTTGAGTTAGTTCAGTTTTATCAAAAAAGTATATAAGGGCTATCTGTCTTAAGAATTTACCAGATGAAGCAATTTGGATAACTCAGTATCCAAATTGCATTATCAATATTGCACTAAGTGATAAAAAAATATGCTGACATTTTGGTTTGCTAACAATAGTTTTTTGGTATCAAATGTAGAAATCTATATTTTGCATTCTTTAGATTGTTAACATTATTGCAGCTTGAGCTAGAATACAGAAAGTTCAACATCTAAGAAAAGTAATGCATGCATTTTATAAACCTGCAAGTTGGGATTGCAAAATTATTGATTTTTGCATTTAATGGTAATGCAGAAAAAAAAAATGCCTACTATAACAAATATCAGTAATAAACAAATATCATTCAATTAAAGCAACTATAATAAAAACATTTTGGTTAATTTTTGCATTAAAATTTAAAATGCCAGTAACATCTACTGAGAAATAGTGTGATTAAAAAAATTTTTTTTAAATTTATTTAATTATTAACAATATAATACTAAGTCTGAACTCATTGATATTTTTACATAATTATCAGGGGGAAATAAATAAAAGATATTTGATACAATTTTAAACTTATTTTGTGCCTTAGAATATGTTAAAAAGATATACAAATTGTTTAATGCTGTAGCATCCAGCCTTCAATCAGATTTTAGCACAAATACACCTGCAGCTGAAAATGCTGTTTCCAGTATGAAGGCTTATAATCTTAATTATTAATAAATGACTGTAAACTAAACATAAATGTCTATTGAATATGTTATATTTTTTAATTAATTTCTTTATAAACATTAGTTTACACTGTGTATTAATTTTCTTGAAATACAATCATTCATCAGCAATCTGATGAGGAATTTTTTTTTCAAGGGAGATATATTTATTGAATATTCTGACATGACAACAATACTTTTGTCATCGTAGTGATTATGATAGTTGTATTGAAGAAATTAATCCTCAATTGCTATCATACACTTTCTTGTTATTTCTATAATTATTCTAGATACAGATATATTAGAATAAATACACTGCATTCACCATTTTTATTATTATTAATAGTAGTAGTTATTGATAAACTCCAAAACAATTGAGTAATTAGTTAATTTTTTATTATCATTAATTCATTTAATTTGTAACTTAATTTACATAAAAGCCTCGCAAAAAGGGGGAAGCATCATCACACAAAATACAATGGTAGAGAAGAAAGCAAGAGAAAAACTTTGCAATTCTAAAGAATTATGATAGAAAATAACAACAATACAAAATTTCAGGGTTTCAAAACATAGCAGTGGTGGGTGGGGGAAGCATCAACAAAATATCAGAGGTGAATAAGATTGTTGTAATGATGCATATTGCAAGCTTCAGTACACACTTTTCTTGACTATAATATTTACATTACTGTTATCAAGGTCTTGATGGTAACATTTTTAAAACTTAAAGTATTGTTTTAGTTGTGGTAAACTTACATTCTGAATCAATAACTTAATGATTAAATAAAAATGTTAATGAAATTACATCTTAAGATAAGCTAATTGATACACAATTAAATGCTATCTTTACTAAAGAATCAACATAACAGCAGCATAAAGAAATTATTTCACAGTCTGACAGTTAATCAAATAAATCTGATTGTATGAAATCTAACAAAATTCATTTTCATTATTTTAATATTTTAATTTTGTATTCTTTTTAAAAAACTACTAACACATCATTATAAAACAGATTAATAATGATTCTTAACAGCTTACATAAGTTTAAAATTCTGTTAATTCTTATAAATAAAATGTAATTTTTACTAAATTTTAAATGCTTAAATTTCCTTTTTGGTTTTCAAGTCAAAATTAATATTTCATTCAAAAACTTGAAATAATATGGGGGGAAATATTGATTTCTTTTTAGCTCACCGATCATTACATATTACAACACCAAGCATACATCTGAAACATTTAAAATCTGAAAACGCATACCTGCAATGTTTTGTAGGTGATTACCTCCCCTTTACCACAAAATTTTTACAATGATGCTTTAAAACTGCTGTCTTTTATAATGTTTTCTACCACCATAGAATTACAAGGCTTTTCACTTTGCTTTGTTTTCTGCTTTGCACTGTTCTTTTGTGACATTTTCATCCATGATATTTTTGGTACACACTTCTGTTACTATACTACTATGACAATTTACCAGTCCCAAATTTTAATATAACTGCTTTAAATAAATTAGCATCATTTCAACAGTTTATATAGGCTGCAACTTTTTTTAATCATAGTCATTAAATCACACAGATAGCTCTTCTGTGCTTTTCCATAGTTGATTAAACAAATTAGGAAACATTAGAGAACATAATAAATCCACAGTAGTGTAATAAAAAATTTCAGGGCATAACCTTTGCAAAATTTTAAGACATTTTTTGACACTTTATAGAGACATTTGGTTATTTTGAAGCAGGAAGGCATGAAAAATTTGCAATGCCCTCATTGGCACTCAAAGCTGAGCCTCTTGAATATGTGCCGAGTGTGCTACCACTATACCATGAGGGCATGCTGGAAGGAAGGAGAAAAACCTTATAACTTAAAGTAGAATTTTTAAAGCTCACACAGTCTTCCTCTTTAAGTTCTCAGATTTAATGGCCATGGAAAACTGGTACTTATGTATTATCCCATCGATCCATGAAAGTTAGCGCAGATTACAACTATTACAAAACATTCATCAGTATCACTGCACTACCCGCCAAATAGGCACTGCTGTGGAGGTATTGCTATGTCACTGCTGTAGTAGACCTATTTTGTTTTTGCACTTCATAAGAAGGCTTTCATCTATTTCTAATATTTTGTTCTGTCCTCTGATTTTACCAAGTGCTATGACTACATATTTCCCACAGAAGATTGTTTTCATCTATGATTGTTTTGTCAGCCATAACCAGCTGTTCTTTTCCTATTCAAGATGTTAATTCCCTCGGCCAGCCTTTAAATATACCAAAGTGCATTCACAAATGTGATTCTACAGAAAACAGAATCCCATTCTTCAAAATGCAAAAAATGCATACAGCAACAACAGTTAATTAATATCCTTTTTCGTAAAAACAAAAGGTGTCTCACCAAGAATCAGTTGGGTTTACATCAAACAAAAATGCAGATATTATGAGTGTGTTGTGCTGATATGTGTTGAGCGCATATCCATAATGGCAAAAATTGTGCTGCTTGGCAATTTCATGTTCGATAAGATAATATGTGAGTATCACAAAATTTTTCAAACTGCTTATTTACATTTAAGCTGTTACAATATCAACATAAATTAATTTACTTTCAATATATTATACAAACAATAACATACACATTACATAATATAGGCTTCATGGTAGTCCCAAAATCCTTCTTTATTTTTGAAAAAGAAAATTTTTAGATCAAAAAGTTCTGAATGCCAAAAGATAAATAGAAATATGCATATTTATATATGTAATTGAACATTTAAACTTATAAAGTTTGACTACTTTCCAACAGTAATATGAAAAAAATGCTACATCTTTTATAAATAAAGAAAAAGCAAATCAAAAGTTTTCCTGGAAATAATTAGCAAATTTTCCAAGTTTCTCTTTTAATTGGTAGAAAAGCATGCAAATATAAAATGTAAATTAATCTAATGTTTCTTCTTCATCTGATTTTACCTATTTCTTCTTCCTTCTTCACCTCTTCCCAAGTTTTTTACTTGCTTCATCAAACAGCTTTTCTGCAGCATTCTATCATTCAATGACTGCCCCATTCTGCAGTTTTTGACTGTTTCAACCTTAAAAAAGGTTTATTTCCAATTTGATTTCAAAGAGAAAGAACTTACCTCCACTGCTTTGATTATTCCTCATAATCATGTGATTTTTAAGCTTAAGATTTATAATTGCTTATTAATTTTAAGAGATTATTATGTAAACAAATGGCCAACATGATATATGAACTTAATAGCCAGTGTATCTTTTGTCACAATGCTAGTTAAGACAAAAGATAAACCCCTATTAACTGAGATTAATTGAGAAACCCCTATTAATTTGAGAACTTGCAGATGATAACATCAGATTTCTTCAATTGAAAAAGATTTAAATATTTCATATTCTCATCATAAGTCTTCAGTTTTTGAGAGCTTGCATCAAAATTTTTGAATATCATGACCTACATTGTGATTATTATATTATGTCAGTATCATCATAATCACATACAAATAACAAGCTAACAAGCATTCATTATTTATTCTGTCAATCATGGAATATAAAATATATTCTGGGATAAGTACTCAGGCAGCAAAGACTCTAATTCACCTTCCAATTTAATGCATTCCCAAAAAGAAAATTTCCTAAAAATTCACTGCTTAATTTTTTTGTTTGTTTTGTTAATAGTTCTTATACAGCACTATAACCAATACCAAAACTTATATATATATAATTGTTGTATGATCTTAAACTTCCTACCTCTGGGTTCACTCTTTTTAGATACTTATACTAAAATTAATATTAGGAGATAAATAATATTTATTTAGTAAAATTATATAAGCACTAACTTAAAAAAAATGAAGAGACGAATCTGTGCTGAAGCTGCAAGATTAAATTAAATTCAGAGTGAAGTAAAAGAACAGAACATAAATTAAATATGAACTTAATTCCAAAAAATATAAAGGCCAACTTATTTTTATCTCCAGGAAATGGTTAAAAAAAACCAAATAAACTTAAAATGAAGGGTACAAAGAAAAAAAAAAAAAAAGTGATTAAAGAAAATGTTTAAAAATCCAGAGCACGAGACTTTAAAAGTGCACTAAAATTGCCTGCAATTATTCAACTTGGTTTAAGGCTTCAAAACACTTTTCCCTTGACAAGTTCTGTTTGAAGCATTAAACAAAGGAGATTAATTTTTCAGGCAATTTTATTGCATTTTTAGCCTCATGCTCTGTGTTTTTAAGATTTTCTTTAATCACTTCTGTTTTTCACTTTGTACCCTTCATTTACCTTAACTCGGTTTTTGTAACCATTTCCTGGAGATAAAAAACCGAGTTAAGGTAAATGAAGGGTACAAAGTGAAAAACAGATTGATTAAAGAAAATCTTAAAAACACAGAGCATAAGGCTAAAAATGCAATAAAATTGCCTGAAAAATTAATCTCCTTTGTTTAATGCTTCAACCAGAACTTGTCAAGGAAAATGTGTTTTGAAGCCTTAAACCAAGTTGAATAATTGCAGGCAATTTTAGTGCACTTTGCATTTTTAACATTTTCTTTAATCACTTTTGTTTTTTTTTTTCTTTGTAACCTTCATTTTAAGTTTACTCAGTTTTTTTTTTAATCATTTCCTGGAGATAAAAATAAGTTGGCCTTTAAAATTTTTTGGAATTAAGTTCATATTTAATTTATGTTCTGTTCTTTTACTTCAGTATGAATTTAATTTAATCTTGCAGCTTCAGCACAGATTCATCTCTTTTCATTTTTATTTAAGTTAGTGCTTAGTTTTTACGGCAATTAACATATTGCAATAGTTCTAACAGTTTACTTCCCTCCTCCAATTCCTTATATTACAAAGTTAACTTTTTGCCTTACTTTAAATGAAAAAAATATTACAAAAATGGGAGAGATTGAAAAAAATTATTAAAAAAATGTAAGGAAAAAGATTTGAGGAAAGGGGGCAATATAGTTCAGAAACTAAAATTTCTCTTTTTTGCAGTAATTATAAAACACTGATAATAAAATTCACTTAGTTTAAAAGTACATATACAAATAACACGATGTAAGTAGTTTCATTATTTTAATGAATACACAAACTTACTTGATGTTTCTGCCAGACACATGACTGACTTGTGGAATTATTCTTTCATTAGGATATAACTGCATATTTATAGGAAATCTTAAAGAGAATGCTGATTTTCTGCTGTAATTCACTACTTCTACAGTTAACCTGGAGGGAAAAAAATATTATTTTGCTAACATTAATCTGAAATTCTATTATCATTTCACAATTACACTACAACTTTGATTACATAAACTGTGATAAATCAGAATTTTTTATATTGAATATCAAAAAGTAGAACACAAACTTAGTGTTAACTTTTTTTAGTCCAAAGGGACAATTTGCCCAGAAGGGATATTAATTTTGTTTTGGCATTTTTGTGTTGCGTGTGTAAATGGCATTTCGCTTTTAAAATTGTTGCCACTAAATATTACAGCCCTGCATTATATTTAAAGAAATTAAATAATGAAGAATCTGCATGAATGTATATTTCTTGCACTGTGAAAAACAATGGTACCAGTGAAATCTTAACACACGAGCACTATCAGGGTTTGCCAAGACTATTACAGCTTTTGACAAGTTTACATTTTGTTAATATACACTATATTTCTAATGTACTAATTATGCTGCTATATTACTAATCAACCTAAATATTCCTATTTTATTGTCATTAATTTTGTACATAAGTAAATAATTGTAGTGAAACTACATGTAAATTGTAGTCTCTCTTGTATATTGTAATATGAAAGGCCTCAGGCAAAGATTTGCCAGAAAAATAGGATTACAGAAAAAAATCAGAAAAGAGTAGGGTAAAGTGAACTTTCAAGAGAAAATTGATAAACATTTAAATATCCTGAAACAATTACATGGGAAACTCTTAACATGAAAAAATATTAAAAAAAAAAAAAAAAAAAAGACAAATGAAATTTGTTCTTAAATAATTACAGTAGCATTTTTGTTTTTCATAAGAAATGTTTCAGAAACTGTGCTTTATAGCATTTATTATCTTGTTTATTTTTCAGAATCAAGATATTTCCAAGGCACCAAAATGAAAAGTAATGTTACTTTAAAATATGGCAGGAGAAAATAAAAATGTTTTATTTTAATGTTATTTCTTAAATATAATTTTAATTTACTTTCATTATTTTATGATATTAATGTCCATAAGTCACCAAATTTAGTGCCACATAATAAAAGAACAGATATCCCAAAAAAGGAAAAGTTAATTGTATCGAAATGTTTATATTTCAATCAAAACAGGGCCTTGCACTTATAAAACTTGAGTATTCATCATTTATATATTAAGAAATAGGATAAAATTAAAAAGTTAACCCATCAAATATACGAAGGTTGGAACTCTAATAGTGGCAACTATTTATTTACAAGGTATACAAAAGTGATTCATGTCACCATGTTTTACAGTCCTTCAATATAGTCGCCAGCATTGTGTACAACCCGTTTCCAACAATGTGAAAGTCGTAGAATACTTAGCAGTGCCTGTTGGTTGATAGTTTGAATGGAACTGGTCTACTGCCGCAAGATCTAAGAACAGTTTGGAAACGAGTGCCACGAAGTGGTTCCTACTCTTAGAAATTAAGTCATATTCACAAGGGCTTAGATCTGGGAGTATTTGTAAACACTTCCCAGCCCAACGCTGAACAAATCAGTCACAGCTTGCGCTGCATGCGGCCGGATGTCACGCAAAATGGAGGAGCGTCTGCAGAAAGTGTCGCCATTTTTTTCTCAAAGCTGGTCGGAGATGTGCTGCAAAATGAGCAGTAATACTGCGCAGTGCGGTCTGCTGGGGGAACGGATCTTTAGGATGACACCATCACAGTCATACACGAGAAACCATAATTTCACATTGCGGGGTTCTGACGAAATTTCGAACGTCGTGGGACCCGTGATGAGCCATTCGTTGATTGGATTTCAGTTCTGGCTGGTACGATCGGGCCCAAGTCTATCCAGCGTAATGATATGGCATAAAAAAGCATCTCTCGTGCTCATAGCGCTGCAGTGGGTTCAGGCAGCATCATATCTAGCCATTTCTGCATTTCCGTCAATGATGCGGAACCCATCTGAAGCAATTTTTCTCATGAAGGCTTTCCTTCAGAACGTGCAGCACAGTCGTATGCGCTAATCCTGTTGTCCGGCCAGTGAGAATCATTGGTGCGATCACTGTCCATGTGCGGCAACAGCTGCACATGCACGATACAATCGACGACCTGGCCGCAGCATGTCTGCCACGATTGGCGTCCTTCATTGAATGCTTCACCCATCTTGTACGGTCGTAAGGCAATGCAGATTCCCTGCAAGCCTCTAAAGCCTTGATGACACGTCCTGCTGTACGACCTCTGGCACATTCCATTTTATCAACACGTTGCTCTTGTTTTGGACATCTGATACACTTACTTAGACCCGAGTTATACAAGGATCGTTCTTCGCGTCACTGCTGCACGTGACGTCGCAGGCGAGTCTTTTTGTGAGAGATAAGGTAGTTATGTGTTCACTTTGGTGTCGCAATCTGTTTTTAGTTGCGTAGCGTTTTTTCAGCTGTGTCCATTTAAGTTCCAACCCGTATTTGTCAATGCATCGACAAAAAACATTTCTCCAAAATGTTAATTCATAATCAAATTGGCAGTTGTAAAAAAAAAAAAAAAAAAAAATCAGATAAGTAAAATTAAGGACCTTTTGCCAGTTTTGTCCAAAATTAAGGACTTTTAAAGACCAAACATCATCCCCCCCCAAAAAAAAAAACCTAAAGACTTTTAAGGACCGTATGAACCCAGTAATATAATGCAAGCATCGAACTCCCAAACAACTGGTATAAAAGAAGAAAATACACCAGTACAAGCTCCGTTCTCAGAAAGAAAAAGAGAAATTTTTACTGGCTGCTGAAAGACAGAAAATACATTTAAAGACAGCAATGAATTTCACCATGGAGAATTTAGACCTAGCAATCATGCTACCTTTTTAGAAAAATTTAATATAAATTACAGTCTATGGTCTTCATAAGGAAGCCCTATTGGCAAGGGAAGGCATGGCAGAGAAGACTATATTCTAAAAAGACAGCATAAGGAATTAACAAAAGGACCTGAAAACCACCTCATATAAACGCACTATGAGAAATGTTAGTATAAAGACCCCCCAGCCCATTACTCTAAACTGGGTTTGGGTACCTACAGGGGTCAGGGACAATGATATAACAGATGGGCTGACAAAGCTTGCCTCAATAAATGATGAGATAGATGCATAGGTTCTAGTCTCAGAAGTGGCAGCTAAAAAATACATAAAAATGGTAGGAGAGATGGAACAACGAGAATGTAGGGAAGATTCATCTACGCAATTTTCCCTGAAAGTCAGATCATTATTATTTGAAAGCATCTACTAACTACAGGAAATCTGCTCTTGAGATAGAATGTAAATTGTACCTGAAGCATGGAAAGAGAAGCAGATGGTTGGTTGGTGTAGTATCCTTTGCGAAGTCAAATGGATCCATGCATGGGAATCACAATTTTTGCCAGTTCCACAATCTTTTCACTAAACAGCTCTCCCTAGAAAAGAAACTCCCTGGCAGAGCTGCAAATATTGCCGTACAGGTGAAGAAAGCTCCATTTCGGGGCACTTCCTACAATTTCCATATTATCTGGTATAATCTTCATTCATTTTCATTCCTATAAAATGCAGGTTCTCAATCTAGTAATGGTCTTCATAAGTTCTCTGTTTGCATCAATCTCACATATCTGACGGTTTTTCTTAATAG